AATGTTGACTTTAGTGATGACGACTGATGATGTTGATAATATATCTAACCATCCACGTGTTAGTTCACCCATAAAATAGCCATCCGTTGAAAGAAATCAAACCTTTGGATTAAGTATAAAAGCTCAATAATGGTAACAAACAAATTTGACTATACTGTAACATTCCCCGTTTGGAAAATTTGCCAGGTTTATCGAATCCCCTTAAAGCCTCTCTTTGAAAAAAAATCAATAATTAATGTATTAGTGTTCAATGATGAATTATTGAATGATCTAAATGACCTAACATCATCATCGTCAACAAAAATACAAAAACAAAATTTAAGTTAATAAAAATAATAGTAATAATAAATTTAGACTTTTGCAGCTTCCAAATTTTCACTTCAAAACTTGTAATTTATGTTACTAAACATATCATTAACATTGTTTACAAATTAATGCTAGTCGTTTCATTATTACTTCAATTCCGATTTTGCCTAGCTTACATTGAAAAGTACTGAGGCTAGCATAAATAAGAAATAAGAAATAGTAGTTTATAGTTCACTCGTATATACTCCCTCCGTCCCGAATTGAACTAATCAAACTTTTTAGTTTTAATATTTTTTTATTGCATCGGTAGTGAATAAATTACTAAATATGTTCATAGGGGTTCACATAATGTGATGATTTACTTTTTATAAGTTTAATGCGATAAGGTTAAATTGGTAATATTACAAATGAATATTACTTTGACATTTATTTTGAGGATAATCAAAAATAAAAAGGTAAACGTTTAATTTCCGACAAGAGTATATATACTAGTAATAGTAAGTGAATTCATTTCAAAATGTACTACACAACATATATTATGGTTAAGATGGTATAGGTATTAGGAGTGGGCCAATTTGCGGTGGCCCAAACTTGTCAGGCCTTGTCTACGCCTTTGGTCTTCTTGTTAGAGTAAGTAGACAGTTGGTAATGGAACGTTTCTTAATTTTTAGGGCAAACTACAATGACCTCCCTTGAGGTTTAGACTAATTGCAACTAAACCTATGAGGTTTGCCATTTTGTTGCAAAGACCACCCAATGTCAGATTTTGCAATAAATTTACCTATCTACCCTCATTATTATAATATTAAAAAAATCAAAATATCTAAAAAAAATAACAAATGACCCTTTTGCCCACTATCATCCACAGCCGAGGCCGTCGTCATCTCGCCCATCACCGGAATAGCAATTTCTCTTGTCGTTGCTGACACCGCCGTTGGGTCATTCCTCCACCGTCTGCTTACTTCCATCGCCACATTACCAAGGTTGCCTTCCTTCAAGTTCTCTGCACCGCCGGTTCGTTTCGCCAGATTCTTGTTGCCACTGTGCCAGTCCTCCATCCTCGCTAGAATCCTCTCTGGTCTGAGCACTTCCTTATTTGTTTCTTCATCACCATCATCCGTCATATATCGTGCTAGCTGTCACCATTCAGATGCACTGGAATCACCAAAAATTTTGGTCACCGACTCCTTGCTGACCATTGCGGGTTTGTAATACAACAAAATGGCAAACCTCAGGTTTAGTTACAATTGGTCCAAACCTCAAGGGAGGTCATTGTAGTTTGCCCTATGTATTTTAAGAAAACGTTGTCGTCTTAAGTGTACTTGTCATATTTAAGGGAACGGTGGCTTCATTTTTGGGATAAACTTATTCTTCATTATATATTTATTTATTTTGCTCACGAACATAAACTAAAATGCAAGCATGCTCACCGAATTTATAATTTTTTTTTTAATAATTTAGGGGTTTTCTCAAGCTTTGGCTTATTATTTTCTACACAACTTACTTTTGAATGCAGAAAAATGCAGAAAATGCTGGTAATCTGTGGACTCTCTTTGGCCTCTATTGGATGTGGGACACTCAACTTTGCAATGATAGAGAAGATAACAAATCTTATAGAATACTATATGATAATATGGGATATGCTATCATACTCTATGATATGGTGACAATAAATATACACATTTTAATTTTATTTTCCTCACATTTTGCCCATGAATATAAACTAAAATTCAAGCATGATCACCGAATTGGGTGTTTGGCAAAGTCTATGAGGTCTGTGATCACTTTATGCGTAGTTTTTCTTTTGAGACACTTTGCGATGTTTAGAGAATTACTTTATGGACCTTATGGTGATTTTAGCGTATGGGACGTTTTAGTGGAAGTTTTGATGGGGATCACCATTGTTTTTCAAAAAGGCAGCAACATATGTCTTTGTATCACAAATTTGATGGTATGTGTTATTATTTACTATAGACATTGTAGTATAAGGTTAGTCTCATCATCTCCGAGGAAGGAAATATTAGTCTTTCATCAATCGGTCACGCTACACAATGGAAGAAGAATGAGATCAATGAGATCGAGATACTTACGGAAAGATGTAGGCTCTTCCATCTCTTCCATGGTGGTGGTGACATTCTAATAATAACATTCCCTCTGTACTATATTTTTATTCATAAGATTGTATTTCATTTCAACTTTATTCGTAAGATGGTTTTAATAGCATTGGTGGCTTCATTTTTGGGATAAACTTAACCTTACTTATTTATTTGATACGATAAACATAAACTATCTATTTTAATTTAATAGAATTGGTCCTTGAGAAACATAAACTTAACCGTTTTGAATTGTTATTTTTATTAGATAGAATTCACTAAATTAAATCACAGTTTCTCTCTCACCTCTAGAAATGGATGATCATTTTCAATACGATTGATGGACCCTCTCATTGTGAAGCTAGTTTTGCTGCTTGTGCGTTTGAGTGAGGGGGTGACTCTACTCTACTTCCTTCTCAATTACCATGCACTTGGAACATATGATTATTAACCGAAAAAAAAAAAACTCATTTTTAAATTTTTTTTCCTTTTTTTTTTTTAATATTTTTTTTAGGTGGTGTTGTGTTGTTTTATTGACAGATGAGCAGGGAAGAAAATATGAAGCAACTTTTAAATTGGTTCTCAAAAATATTTTAGAGAAAAATATACCTGTAAGCTAAGTCAGAGAGCAAAAATTTAAAAATCTTAAAGCAAGAGCGCCTTATTATAAATTTATGAAATATTCATTTATAATATTAAATATATCTTTTAAATAAATTTCATTTAAACAAAAAGACATTAAATATGAGTTCATTACAATCATGGTTCGCCGTACCGTCAACCGCAACCGATATAACGAACCTGATTTATAAAAATGCATAAATTAATCAAACAAGTTGCTTTATAAAACCAAAAACGTAATAGTGAATAGAGCATACTAGAAAAGAAATTTTTTTTACTTCTAACGGCAAAAAAAATTAATAATGAATTTCATTCATTTTTATACATTTAATCTGTTTTAAAGTCTCAAGATGACAATCATTGTCTTTGAAATAGCAATGTTCAAAATTAAATACTTTGTTCGAATCTTTCCTTCATTTCAAAGAACCCTAAACTTAATAGTAGAGAGAATATGAAGTGTTTTGGAGTAATTTTTGGAACGAGAATAAAAGTGAATCAGGGATACAAGAAATCAAGAGTCAAGACTGAAGACTTCGTTCTTTCCATTCAAAGAACCCTACACTTAATAGCAAAGAAATCACAAATTAAAAGTTATTCCTTCATTTATTTTTTAACTCTATTATTATATTATTTGACCTATAAGTATGATCCCGCATTGGGTGCTTGGAAAAGTCTATAAAGTATGCGATTATTTTATATGTAGTTTTTCTTTTGCGACAATTCTGAGACAATATTCACCGATCTCTTATGTGGACATTACTACTAGCTAGATAATTATTTTATGGACCTTATGATGATTTTAGTGTATGAGACACTATGGCAGAAGCTTTGATGGGAATTACTATTGTGCATCATCACAAATTTAACAATCCATACTGTTGTTATTTACTATAAACATCGTACCTATAGGATAATCTCATTGACTCCAAGACAAACATATGATGATAAGTATTCCGAATGCCATGAAACATTTCCACTGAAAACAAAATAAAATTCATATTAAATACATAGAAAAGAGAGCTTGAAAGGAGAAGAGAGTGGGGAGATTTTCGTTTTTGCAAAAGTAAAGGGACTAGATAGAGATAGAGATAGAGATAGAGATAGAGATAGAGATACGAGAAGAGAGTGAGGAAAGTTTGGGAGCTCGAGCTCATCACGGTTTTGAAAATTATGTTTTCACTCCGTTCATTTAAGAAATCAAATTGCACTCGTGTTCAAAATCGATTCGTTTTCAATCTCGTGAGTAAATTATTGTATTTTTATTTTATATTTGCAAACAATCGCAAACATATAAATAAGCCTACAGTTTACGAACATATACATGAGCCTATTTGATGATCATAAACCCATACATGCTTATATTCACGAGCTTACATGAAACGAGACTACCACATTGTTCAAGATCGACTTGCTTACTAAATGAGCCTAAAAATTAAACTCGAACTCGACTCATTTGTTTAACTAACAAATTCGAATTGAGCCATAAACAAACCGAAATCAGCTCTTGCTTTCTCATAGAAGTCCCTGATTGTGTGGTACAACTATAAATAAATTTTACTCGGTATTTGCTTAGAATTTTTATAGTATGGTCTGTATATATCCTGAAAAAAAGGTTCAACGATCTCAATTTGTGCAGTATAAGATTTATAGTATAGCCTAATCAGTTGGGTTGAGGTCTCTCTCTCTATATATATTAGATCAAGCTATTTTTTATTGCGAATAATTGTAAAATTAATAGGTCAAATTTCAGTACAATATTTTCATGGAAGCCTGTGAATGTATGGATAAAATTATCGACCGCTTAAGTTGTAATTGTAGTTTAAATTACACATTACAATTTCGAAGACAAAATTTCTGTTTCTAAATATATTTTCACTTTTGTAATTGTCATAAAATATGATTATGTGAGTTCCAATTTTTTATTTTTTTTCAAAAGCCAACATCACACGTCACCCTCAGCCCCTCCTTTTTTCCTCTCTCATGAACTGCGTAATACTATTGCACAGACCCACCTTCTCTCCTAACCATCCTCTTTCTCTCTCTCTAGGGAACACATCTAACCCTAGAAACTCTTCAACGGCTTTCCCACGCTTCCCTAATAAGGAGATCGAATTAACCTCTTCTTTGTCAACCTCCTTTGCCCAAACTGTCCGTTCGCCGCCGTTCCTCCGTTCGCCGCCGTTCCCCCATCGATGGCCATTTATAACAACCTTGCAAGCGGAGCCACCGCTTTAATTGTCTTCTTCACCAACCTCTTCCGCCCACATGTGGTCGCTCCGCTCTCTGCCACTCGGTCTTTCGTTGCTCCACCCAAGTTTTTCTACACTACGGCTCCCACCGGAAGTCCTGACAGCGTCGGCGCCTGCAACCACCTTGGGTACGGTCGTTCACCTTCTCAAATGTGCACACTATATATATATATATTTATATATACAAATATATATCACTTTTGCATTTTTGTTGTTTTTTCAATCATACCCACGATTGTTCAACTCCTCAAATTTATATATAAACATATATATACACACACATTCATCCCGAGAAAGCACTTTTGGTTCACTATCACTCTTACTACTCTGTTTTACAATTTTGTTTTGTGTGTGTGCCATTTTTTTTTTAATCTTACCCCTAACATTTTTGTTGTTCACACACTTTCTGAGAAAGCTCTTTTCATTCACCATTGGCTCTGTTTTTACATATTGTATTGTGCTTAGTATTTGTTTAATTTTTGTGTTAAGAGGGCTCATCTTTTTTATGGCCGAAACAGGGGTTTGAGGCTAAGGCAGTGAAGAAGGGTTTATACTTTATATGTGAGATTGGACATGCCTGGGGTTGAGGAAGAGGATGGGTTTATATGTGAGATTGGACATGCCTGGGGTTGAGGAAGAGGACATGGAGGTATGGCTGGAGTATGACACCCTTTTTGTCAAAGGTGTAGCCCGGAAAGCATGGGAGCAAGAAGTCTACGGCAGGTTGTACTGTGGGAGCAGAGAACTTCTGCCCCAGTAGGGGAAGAAGGTTGGTATTCTTAAGAAGGATATGAAGAATGGTGTCCTAACAATCGTAATTAATTAAATAATTCCTGTTTTGAATATGTTGTGACAGATTTATATATGTATGTATGTATGCATGAATCTCCACTTCTATATTTTGATTTAGATGCATGAATTTCCACTCATTGTCTTATTTATTTGAATATATGTGTGTATAGATGCATGCAAATATGACTTCTCTAGAGTTAATATATGATAGAGGCTGATACAGAAAAATAGTTTAAGGGCAGTATGGTGCCATGGTAGTTGCAGCTAAAATGTCTTGGTTCCTAAATATAAGATCCTCTGAAATATTAAGAAGGGGATTGATAATATATATTTTACTGATTGTAGTTGGCCTTATGAAGAATATATGAGATCAATATGCTGGAAGGGGAGGTTGGTTGTTAGGTTTAGGAAGTGAAATTTAATCCTAATTGTTAAGTTAATTTGTAGCCTTTATCTCCTCGCGAATCTATAAAATTTGATTGTTATTGTTGGAGTTAAACTCATTTTTTGATCTGGGAAATGTGTAGGGATTGCCAAAAGGAGTTGTAAGATTTGATGATAAACACATGTATTCGCTATTAATGTTGAATTGGCCTGGGGGATATATTGTGCTTTGTGTAGTTTTATTGATTGAGATCAAATGATGATCCTGTTCATCTTTTGTTGCTTGGTCACTTTGCTTTTTGGTGTACCGTGTATTCCTTTTCATAGTTTGTGGTTTGCTGAGTCTAGACTAGTTCTTGTTTGTCCCTTTAATGGGACTTCTCCTTGTGGCTTGATTTTGGGAGTGGGATTTCTTAATCCCTTTTGTATTCTGAGCGGATGCACTCTTTGCGTTTTGTAGTCCGTGCTTTGTTCTTTAATGATATATCACTTAGGAAAAAAAGACAAATGCTAGTCTGTGAAATTGCTACTCTTCATGATAGGCAATTTATTGTAGAATTTTATTAGTGATATGGGATCAATTTCCTTTGTCAATTTTATTTATTTATTTATTTTTTATTTTTCTGTCTTACTATTCGTTTTATTTACTATATGAAGACTTATTGTTACCTCATTCGCTAAACAACAACGGCATTATTGTAATCTATTACTCAATACATATATAAGAACACATTCCGAATATTATTGATTTTGTTAGGAATTTGAGTCCGTCAAAATAATAAAATATATATTTTTTGTCGTTAAATTTTGCATGCTTGACAAAATCATGAGTTATACGTCATTCTAATGGAATTGAATTTGTAGTAATATTGTCAAATGTTCTTGGAACAAATATTTGATGAGATGAATCAATAAAGTCCTCTGGCCGCCATGTTCACATCTTGTGTAGAACTCACATCCATATATATTTTTTATTGTCCATTAAATTATTTGGGCCCACTCGTTATCAATGGGATCAGGTAAGCAGTCGCCCGGGCCTGGTCACTGCGACCAACAATTACTGTTGCTTTGTCATATTTTCTAGCTCTTTGAGTGAGATATACATGGTCAATAACTCTATATAGGGTTTTTTTTTTTATTTTTTTTTTTTATTATTTTTTTTTGTATATGTTGTTATGGTATATATCTTTCAATGCTGTGATAAGGTTGTTGAAGTTTATCCTGTTAATAAAAGATGTTAGCTAGTTGTAATATAAAATTTATTTCCAGAATCTAGTAGATTAGAGTGTGCTTAAAATAGATATTTAATCAAGGAACTTATATTTCAGCTAACTCTGTTCTATTCATTGTAGTTGCTTTCTACAGAAAAGCAACCAAAAATGTCTGGCTGTGTATTTATTGTTTTGTAAAGCCACACGCTAGTTTGTCACTAAGGCTTAAACTTTTAAATGCATGTTCAAAAAATTAGTTCCCTCTCCGTATTGCTTCTGAAACTCTTGATTTACCATATGTTGTGAATGCCCACTAATGCTTTGAGTATATGACCACATCAGACTAATTCATGCTGCATGCTGTATCTTGATAAATTTCTTTTATTTCTTCATTTTGTTCATAGCTTCAATTTTTTGGGGCATTATAACTCTCTTGCTCATGACTCATAAGGTGCAAACACTTTATTTAAGCCTCTAATGTGCATGCCAAGGAACATTGTAGTAATCATTTGAACGTATGAAGTTTGAGAATGATCTTCAGAATATCAGTGACGCTGGAGAGCTAATCTATTTTATTGTTTTATCTTTTCTCTTTTGGTAATTTACTGGAGAACTGGTCTTCAATAGAACTAGAACATAATATTCCTATATAAGATAACCATTGATGCTTCTCGTTCAAAGAATCTATATTTGTTCTATTTCGATTTTTTATTATGTTTCTATTGTTTTAGATCCTTGACAATGTTTTGGACTAAATGAACTTCAAACTTGATAAATATACCAATTCATTTGATTTTTTAAACTGTTTTAACCATCATTCAGATGATTCTCAGCCAACTTTCTAAGTATATATCCTCCATGTAAATAGAGAATTTGCATTTCTTGCCTAAGCTCAAACCGCGGCCTGTCTTGGTTAATTTTTAAAAATTTTGATATAATTTTAGTTCGAGAATCATGAGCTGGCTGTTTGCAGGCTATTGATCTCACTGGGTATAAATATATTTATACCTTAGAAATAATTATGTGATTTAGAGCTTTGCTATTGTTTTATTGAATATTTTTTTAATGGTTTACTTGAAATATAGATATGATTCTTTAGTTTTTAGCAAGCTGAAATAGTTTTAGCATGTATACATAGTGTTTTCTCTTGTGTATCTATAAATATATACAAAGGAAGGCAGAATCTTGCTGTTGAGTCATATTACCTCATTTTTTTTTGGATGTAGTGACACTAAGTTCTATTATCACAGTGGACAGGTGAAACATCCGTTGTGACTGAATTTGATGTCACACTTGTTCCCCTGCTGATCTATTTTTTAATTGATTAACTCAATTGAAGTTCACAATAGCTAACCTCTTCACGACTGCATACAGCTCTTGGATGCTGTGGCTTCCGCACAAACTTCTCCCCCACAACCACCACTTGAGTCTCTCTTTCTCTAGCTGAGCTAACAAACATTGTAAACCCTCCATAAACCCTTATTGAATCTACTTTCTCTCTCTGCATCAATGGCTTCAGGTAGATCCACCACTGACTTTTTCTGCACCACCACTCCTACCGGAAGTTCTGACAGGATCGCTGCCTGCAACATCCTTGTGGTTACGATCGTTCACCTTCTCAAATGTGTGTATATATATATTTTTTGATAAGTCAAATGTGTGTATATATATAATCCAGAGAAAGCTCTTTTCATTCACTAACACTGAATCTCTTTACATATTGTGTTGTGTTTAACATTTGTTCGATTTTTGTATGTGTTCAGGGGTTGATTATGTTAAGAATTCACATCATTTTTATGTTCCAAGAGAGGGGTTTGAGGCTAAGGCAGTGAAGAAGGGTTTGTATGTGATAGTGGACATGCCTGGCGTTGAGGAAGAGGACGTGGAGGTATCGCTTGATAATGACACCGTTTTTCGTCAAAGGTGAAGCCCAGAAAGAATGGGAGCAAGGAATACATGGCAGGTTGTACTGTGGGAGCATCGATCTTCTGCCAGAATCGGGGATGAAGGTTGGTGTTCTTAAGAAGGATCTGAAGAAGTGTGTTGTAACAATGGTAATTAATTAATTCCTGGTTTCAATATTTTCTGACAGATTATATATGCATGTATATTATGTGTATGAATCTTCACTTCTATACTTTGATTTAGATGCATAAATTTTGACTTATTGTCTTGTTGATTTGCATATGTGTGTGTGTGTGTGTGTGTGTGTGTGAATGTCCACTTCTATATTTTGATTTACATGCATGAGTTTCAACTTATTGTCTTATTGATTTGCATATGTGTGTGTGTGAATCTCCACTTCTATATTTTGATTTAGATGCATGAATTTCCACTTATTGTCTTATTGAATTGAATAGTTGTGTGTGCAATATGCATTTAAATATGAATTCTCTGGAGTTAATATCTAGTAGGGGGAAAATAGTTGCATAGCTGTATCATGTGGAAACTGCAGCTAAAAAGTCTTGGTTCCTAACTATAAGATCCTCTGAAGTATTAAGAACAAATTGATAAGTTTATTTGTGAGTTTTAGTAAGTCTAATTTGATACTAATTATCAAGTTTGTAGCCTTGCAGTCCTCTGGAATCTGTAAAGTTTGATTGTTATTTCAGGTGTTAAGCTCATTTTCTGATATGAGAAATATGTGTTTTGTCTTCCTATGTGGGAGTGACAAAAGGAATTGTAAGATTTGATGGTAAATACCTGCATTCGTTATTAATGTTGAACTGGTCTAGGGAATATATTGTGCTTTGTGTAGTTTTATTGATTGATAGCAAATGTCCATCTGTCATCACCGTTAGAATAGTACTGAAATTTCTAGTCTTTGTATGAGGCTATTTATTATAATTAGAAATATGAGATCGTATTCCATTGTCATTTTTTCTTTCTCATTAATCATTTTATTTACTATATGAAATTGTTGCTTCACTCACTAAACAACAATGCCATTACTATATTCCGTGACTCATTAGAATCTGTATTAATGTTGCCAAATGTTTTCGAAACAATTCTTTAATGAAATGAATCAATAAAGTCCAACTTCAGGTCACCACATAAAAGATGTTTGGTAGTCATTATTTAAAAGAAGTTTCCAAAATCTAGTCGATTAGAGTGTGCTTAAAATAGATATGTAATAATAATAATAAAAAAAACTTATTTTAAGCAAAATTATGTGCTATTTATTATAATTGCTTTGTACAGAAAAAGCAACCAGAATACCTGGCTGTGTATTTTATGTGCTGCAAGGCCATGTGCTAATTGTTTATTAAAGCTTGAACTTTTGAAAAAATGTCTTTTTTATTTGTTTATTTTTTTAATAATTTGTGGGCATATGTTCCAACTAAGAATTTAGTGCCGCCTCCAAATTGCTTTAGAAATTCTTGATTTACAGTAAGTTGTGAATGCTCAGTAATGCTGAGTATATGACCTCATCAGATATGATCATGCTTTATATAGGTCACAGCTTCAAAATTTTTGGGCATTATTTAAGCCTCTAATGTGCCAAGGAACATTGTGGCTATCATTTGAATCTATGAACTTTATTTTTTTGGTTATAGACAAATTTTTGGTAATTCACTAGAGAACTTTATTTTGATCAATAGAAATAGAAACATAGCATATATAAGATAGCTGTTGATACTTGTACAATGTAATCTCGATCTGTTCTATTTCATTTTTCTATAATGTTTGTATTTTTATCAATCCTTGACAATGCCTTGGTCAAACTTGATATATATACCAATTCAATTGATTTTTTGAACTAATTTAACAATCAGTTGGAGATTTTTGTAAATTTGTTTGAATTTTAGTTTGACAATCATTTGCTGGTTGTTCTTAGTGATCTCACTACTGGGTATAATTATATATTCAATTTAGAAATAGCTAGTTATTTTATTTGGAGCTTTGATATTGTTTTATTCAATACATTTTCATGGTTTAGTTGTAAGATGGATATGATTCTTTTGTCTTTAGCATCTTGATATACTGGGAATATGATATATGAGGTGGTTAGCAGTTGCTTTTCTATAAAAAAAGAAAAAATAAAGAAAAAAGAAAAAAAAGAAGAGGATGGTTTAGTGGGAATGTCTTATTAACCCAAAATCCAAATTTTTAGGTAAAATAGGTATAATATGTGTATATAGTGTTTGTGTGTGTCTATAAATATTCACAAAGGAATGCGGAATCTTGTTATTATTTCATTTTTTGTTATATACTGTGACACTGAGTTGGATGTCACATTTGTTCCCCAACTGAGATCTTTGTTTTAATTGATTAACTCAATTGAAGTTCACAACAACGTCTAACCTCTGCATGACTGCGTGCAGGTCCTGGATGCTTCTCGTGGACGACAATGGTCACTCAGTTTACCAGTAACAATCTTGAATTCCCTGCTGTGATAAAGAATTTCTTCTTCTTTACCCTCCAGGTCTGATTTGTAGTTTTTTGCTCTTTGTTTTAGTCAAGTACTAGTTTGTGTGTGTATAATCTACATGCTTAAGATGTTTTAGTTTTAGATACAGATAAATACAGAAGTTATTTTATCCATTGGACTCTAAAGAAAAATTTAAGAGCTGTGGGATCAGGGGTCTCTGATGATGTGTGTTTGGGTTTTCTGTCCGAGTCTCGTCTTCCTGATATGCCTTCCTCCTATGCATGCATATTAGAGGATAGTTTGGCACTGCATATTATTTAGCAGATAGTGTGGCTAAAAAAATCCTTTACTCTCTTCGATTTGCATAAAGTCTTTTTTTCCATTATCAAAATCTAATTTAGCTAAAGATTTTGATTTATTTTTAATCACTGTTCGTGAGTGATGAGTTGAATTTAGCTTTTAAGGCAGGTTTTGTAGTTTTCTATGCATGTTTGTTATGGTATTGGATGTGCCCGGCACGCGAGAGAGTGCATGTCCATCACGAATTATTGGAATGTGCGCGCATGGAGCACACCTTATATTTACTCCATGGCTGTTTGCCGCCTTCCATACTCGCGAGGATTTGAAGTTGTTGTAGTTGGACCATATAAAAGTTAAGCCGTTATTTGTAATCAATTAATGTAATAGAAATTGTACTTATTTACTTAGTAATTAATACATGCAAAGAATCAAAATTGGGAAAATTATATTTTGGTGACCAAAATTAAATATAATTGCTATATAGTGATTTTAAAGTGAAGAAAAGGTGAATAGTGACCAATCTTGAAACTTAATTGATATTAAGTGACCATTTAAGGATAATTTGGTCAAAAACACTTAAAAGTTTAATAAACATTTTAAAAATAAATTTTATATGATAAAATTACCATCCAATATAAATAATAAGTCATTAAATTCATCCTCCTCCTACTCTCTTTCTCTCTCTAATCCAACTATTTTTCAAGGCTCTCAACCATCTAATATTTTCCTTTTTAGTTTACAATTTACCAATTTAAAAAATTAAAATTTCTGTATCAATATTATCTCTTTTCCATCATTTATTTATTTTTCAAGGCTCTCCAGCATGAATGCTCATAGCATTTACAGTGGCAAATTATACTTTTGAAACACCCTTTAACAATTAGTAAAATTATGAAATTAATCAACAATAGTTATTATTTCTTGAACTATAACTAAGTAGTATTAAAAATTCCTGAAAATTACAATCTTATATCTTAAGGAAGATCTCTCAGACAAATCAACTCGTAAAGTATAATAATTATACCTTGAAAATAATGAATAAGAAGAAAATTTACAATTTTCTCGTCATGTCTCTTAGAATCTTGAAGAAAATGATGTATAATATCCATCATCAGTTCTCTCCCATCTTGATCTTCTCTTCAGAGACTTACCCTAATAATCTATCGTCTTTTTGTTAGTCAATTTAAGTAAGTGATTTAGGTTAATGTAAAGGGTAAATTTGTCTACTTACATAATAATATATTATAAGAAGGCTATTTAGGTAATAAACCATCAAATGGTCACTTAATATCAATTAAGTTTCAAAAGTGGTCACTATTCACGTTTTCTGAACTTTCATATCACTATATAGCAATTATATATAATTTTGGTTACTAAAATATAATTTTCCCTAAAATAATATTTTAAAAAAAGAAAGAAAGAAATAAAGTAATGATAGAATTTAGTTAAAGAAACTTTTTTTGATGAATATAATAAGAGTGGTATTTATTTGGTAATCGATACATTAAAGGAAATATAATTAAGAAATATTTAAAAAAGAAACATAATTAATACATGGCCTTTTTCCTACTGGGCCAAGTTTAGACCTAAAATTACTAGGATATCGGCTATAAATTAGTACTCGTATTGGATTAGGATTTAATTAATTTTATTTTTTAATGCCGTGGCATGGTTCCACTTGCGAATCCCAAATCAATTACTCTCTCCTCTATTGATCACTTTCCTTTTTCAATTATAATTATAATTTAACTTCATTATATATACACCCATGGAGTATATAGCAGTTTAAGCCCTCGCGAATCCCAAATCAATTACTCTCTCCTATACTGTAGAGATGAGGGATATTAGAGAGGTGGATCCTTGGAGTCAGAAGATAGTTTTGATGATCGTGCGTATGAGCGAGGTGAATTACTTCCTTCTCAATTACTGTGTAGTTTAGACATAATTAATGCAAAAAATTCAAATTTTTTTTTTTTTTCTTTTCTATTTTTTCTTTTTCTGGTAGGAGTATCTTTTCCCTTTAATTATTTGTAATCAAACCCTTATTTTTTTATTGTGTTTTTTTCTTTATTATTATTTTTTGACAGATGAGCGAGGAAGAATTAATGAATTGGTGGAGAATGCAACTTATATATTGGTTTTTTTGGTGGAGAATGCAACTTATATATTGGTTCTCAAAAACGTTTTCCTATTGCAAAGAAAAATATACTAGTAAGTACTTAAAAATATATATTATTTTGATAGTGTATAACTTTACACAATAAAATAAGTAAATAATAATAAAAATCTATATCTATACCTATATCTATACTATTATTTTGGTACATTTATTATAATAATAAATTTATTTGTTTAGTATGTATGTTTCCTTTTAGAATAACACATATTACCTATTTATTTTGAGTTTTTAATATAAAATTAATACAAGGTGTTTAGAAGAGTTTCTATGAAACTCAAATTACCTATTTAAATTTTTTTTTATAAAACTCAAATTACCTATTTATTATGAGATTTTTTTTAATATTCACACAATATGTAAGGTGAATTATTAACACATACTATCATAAATCTTAATAGTATAAGATTTCATTCTCACTATTGGTGAGCATTCCCTTTTAATTAATGTGAACTCCGTAGCATAATAAATCACACAATCAATACGTCAATAATTTATACTGATGGAGGAGTTCATTATTACTATTGTTGGGATTCATTTGTTATTACGTGAGCACTTTCATTAAAATAATAATATGTGGGTCCCTTAACTACTGTATGAAAAATCGAATTACGCCAATAACTTAACTATTGGCGGGCAAAGAAAATCTAATTAGAATAGAAAATATATAAAGAAAATAAATAATTTAGTCTTTCTAATTAGATATGGAAATATATAAAAAATTTAAATAATTTAGTCTATTTAGTTTCCACATCTTTTCTAATTTTATAAATAAATTATTGTCTTTCATGTATATTAAAGTGTTTAACACAAATTACTTATATATTATGAGTTTTTGTTTTAAAATTAATATATGGTCTTTAGAAGAGTGTTTATAAAAGAATTACCAATTTAGAAAAGTTTTTATAAAGCTCAAATTACCTATTTATTATGAGTTTTTTTCGAAAAGAGAAAATCTAATTAGATAAGAAATTATATATAAAAAAAATTGGTCTTTCTAATTATACAATGAAATATATATAAAAAATATAAATAATTTAGTCTTAATAAATTGTAATAAAAAATAGTCCTAATTTTGATATTATTTTAGGAGTTTGAAAATACACTTATCAATAATTGAATTCCTATTGTAAAGTTCAATTAAAAATTATATTTTTATCTCTTTTACCTTATGTTGATATTTTAGAATTTACAATTATTTAATTATTTAATTACTTTATTAAATATTAATTTTTAGAATTTATAATTATTTAATTTCTTTGTTAAATATTAATTTAAATTAGATTTTACTCCCATGGAACACACTACAGTTTTACTAGTATCCTAATATATAATAGGAATGAAAAAAATAATAATAAAGAAAAGTAGATAGTGTGTTGTCATAGAAAATAATTAATCATTACATAATAATCAGTTTATTTCTTTAGAAATTGAATCCTAGGTGTGTTTTGAAAATTATTATTGTTGTTATTGTTATGATCATTATGTGTTATTAATTTTTTTTTTTTCTGTAATTATGATTTATAAATTTTAATAAAGAAGTTTTTTTTCCCATTTTTTGTTTTCTAGCTTGAAAGGATCCAAGGATAAAAGAAAAAGAATAAAAAATTAACCCCTCAACTTATCTGCTCTATTATTTTTTATTTAATAGAAATAGTTATATATCTTTATATAATTAAAGAAGTGTTAGGAATTGAAAGCAACAACTTATCTGTATTATTATTTGTTATTTACATATTGAAGTTTATCTACCTTTGAATGCAGAAAATACAAGTAATCTGTGGCGAATATTGGGTGTGGTATCTACTACATTTTGGACAATGAACGGGAATCGGTTAAATTCACATGTTTCATTTGTTGAACTGATGGTGATGATGGTCAAATTATTAGTTATAGCACATATAGGTTTGGCTCATCAATACATACGAAATAAGGATGATCATCGTTTGGAAAAGCGTATTGGTTGTTTGGCAATCTCTATGAGGTCTTTGACCAATCTGTGCACAACTTTTCTTTTGGGATATTTGTGGGAGGATATTTACTACTCGCGTACGTGGATACTGTTTACCACCAACTGTTACGTATTTAGAGAACTAATTTGTGGGCCTTATGGTGATTTTAGTGTATGTGACGCTTTAATAGAAATTGTGATGCAGTTTGTTCTGGTTTATCACAAAGACAACAACATATGCCTTTGCATCGCAAAATTGATAATATGTGGTGCTGTTATTTACTACCGACATTGTTCAAATGATACACTTGCCCTCGTCCCTCCCGTCGCAGTCGCAGAAGAATGAGTTGAAGATACTTAGACTCAAAGCTGGCTGTGCAAGTTTCATGTGACTTTGTGACTTCTACTTCTCTATTTATTCTTTTATTTTCTTTTTCTGTCTCTTCATTTTATATATTAAACTTTCACGCAGCAGCGTTTCCTCGTATGATTTATGTTAAAGGGTTTTATTCTTTTTTAATATTACTATCTGTCAATTTTATATAAGTATGTGTCAAAACTTAATCAATTGTTCTTTTGCTAGAGGATGTTAATGTTGAATTGAAAAAATATAAAAATTCACTTACTATTAAAAAAAACAAAAGAAAAGGACTAAAAGGCAACAAAACCATTAAATTTATTAGGTATATAAATGAATGAGAAATACTCTTGCGTTGAATTTTCTTGTTCCTTCCTTTTCCTTCCTTTGTCAAGGAAAAAAAATAAAAAGAAAAAGAGAAACATATCACTTCATAATATCAAAATTAAGATTATAAGTTTGTTACGACAAAGTTAAATTAATTAAAATTTAAATCTTACATTAATTACTTTACTTTTTATTTTTTTAACGACGTG